AGGTTGGGATTACAGTATGAGCCACTTGCCCGCCTTATTTTTAAATTCTATTTGTGTGCTTTAAGTTAAATTATATTCTGCTTCTCTATATTCATTTCTTTCACTGATTTTGCCTCAGGCAATTTTTAAATTTCATTCATTTACCTTCTTGAGGAAAGTATTTAGATCATTTTTAAAAAATAATGTACAGCAAATAATTTTTCCACAGATATTGTTTTAGCTTTATTGTGTTGGTACTTTTGCAGATTATATTCAGGCATTATTATTTTTCATAACTTACTTTAAAAATTGTGCCAAGTTTATTTAATAGAGATTTCTCCCTTGATTTTCAGAGGTCAGATTGTGTCTTCTATGGCTGTTATTTTAGTTTAATTTTATTTTATTATATGTAAATATGTTGCATATTCCTTTTTTTAAAATGTGAGACTTTTTCTCTCTCGTTATACAAACTTTGTATGTAGTGTTCATTATGCACTTTAAAAATAAATATTTTGTTTCAGGGCATGGTGATTTCACACATGCAACCTTAGAATAATTTTAAATTCCATTCCACTTTCACCATTCCTGAACTGCTTTGAATATATTGGATGTTGGAAGGATAGAGGTTTTGCTTGCAATCCAGTAGATAATAGGTTTTCCATTTATAGTGTAATCTGATATATATTCTTCGTTTGGTTTCATACTTTTAAAAAATCTATTCTCTTTTACTCTGTGGTGATCTTTGCTTTTCTATTTGTGCATTGCTAGAATGTCAGCTCTGTTCTCCTAGCACCTGAGATGTTACTCAACACTGTATAGGCTGGTGTTGAGAATTGAGAGAATCTACTAAATAATAGCACTTTTCAAGACGCAGTTCTGAATTAAAAGGAAGGGAAAGGACGGCAAAAGAATATAGACATCAGCTATTTTACTGAGATCTGTTGGAAGAACATGGTTTTGGTGTCCAGGAACTTGAGACCTAATTGCATTCCTAATACTTCACTAGGTGTGCCTAAATAGCCCTGAAAGGGCTATGAAGTCACAAGTCAGCCTCTTATTGTTATGGGTGTCCTTAAAATATTAAGGGAAATTAAGGGATGCAGAATGGCTCCTTCCTCATGACTTTTTAAGAGATTTGGGCCGGGCGCTGTGGCTCACACCTGTAATCCCAGCACCTTGAGAGGCTGAGGTGGGTGGATCACCTGAGGTCAGGAGTTCCAGACCAGCCTGACCAAAATGGAGAAACCCCGTCTCGACTGAAAATACAAAATTAGCCAAGCGTGGTGGCACATGCCTGTCATCCCAGCTACTTGGAAGGCTGAGGGAGAATAGTTTGAGCCTGGGAGTTGGAGGTTGCAGTGAGCTGAGATTTCACCATTGCACTCCAGCCTGGGCAACAAAAGCGAAACTCTGTCAAAAAACAAAAAAGGAGAGAGAGAGAGAGAGAAGATCTGGAGGGAGATACTAAGCTGTGCAGGCTCTCATCTTGAAGTCACCAAATACGTAAGTTGTTATTCCTGCTCTGGTGAGAAGTTTGTCAATACATTTTTTCCATGAATTAATGAAAATTTTAGACCCATAACATAAGTTTTAAAAAATTTATCCTAAAGATTGCTTGTGTATGTATGTGTTTTGAAATATATTTAATCTCTATATCTTGAAATAGTTTTTATAGATTCCACACAAGAGTCCTTTAGGAAATAAGTGTGCTTTAATTTTCTTATAATGTTTGTCCTTTTTTGTCCCTGGCACAGTCTGTATATGACCATTTAAATTACTTTTAGTTCATGTTTGGGTTATAATCACACACAAATATTCTCTGAAGTCCAAATCTTATTTTGATATTCAAGGAAGAGTTTACATGGTAATAATATTAAGGGTTACAGCTGCTTTCACTGAAGCTTTGTAGGCATTCTCTAATACCTTATTTTTTTGAAGGAATATCTGTTCTGCTTGAATTATAGACTATATAATACATGTACTGTCAGGTACATTCATGGAAGGGACAGGCAGATGGAGTCATATGTTACTGGAGTCTTGATGAACAGATGTAGGAAATAGTCCAATGAGTCCAAGGAATAAGAAAAAGTTTGATATTGAAAAGTGCTTGTTGAAGTCTGTAAATGTGATTAAAATGTGGCAGTAAAAATAGACACAGTGAAGTTTGGAACTGGTCCTGGAGTCCCCAGAATCATAGAGAACCTTGGTTAGGGGAGTAATTTTGTAAAAAACCAAGAAGAGGCAGTGACAAGGCAGAATACAATTAAAAGTATTGCTGTGTCATTTTCTAATTTTGTAATTTTGTCATATTTTTCAAACTCTGTTGATCATTTATTAAACTGGTAAATAAACTATAATCAACAGGGTTATTATAAGAGTTAAATAAGGAAATTTATGTATATCTATAAGCACAATGTCATAATTAATACAAAGCTACCCTTTTTATTTTTCCTGGACTTCATGTACAAATGGGTCAGTTAATTTTTTGTTTATAACACATAATGATCATTTTTACATAAAATATATTTAATTATTTTTATATTTTTAGCAGGGAAATAATACATGCATGTTTTCCCCTGTCCTCCAAACACATGCGTTCTATAAAACATATCCATCTATATCCTACATATCTATGTATGAATATACACATACATCATTATTTCTCAGCAAATATGTATCATGATAATCAGAGATATTGCAACTAACAAAGACTAATATAAACCATGATGCAAGAATTTTAGATACCACCTTAGTAAAATATCAGATTGAGCTGCTAAATTTCTCTCAGCCCTAAGTCATTTTGTATTTTCTGAGCATCCTAGAGGATTGTGACTGTACCACAGGACAAAAAACACCATGACGCAGGGTACTGCTGCGAATTTCTGATGCGGGATTTTAAGGGCTAGATCAGCAGGATGGGAGTGTTGACCCTCCAAGTGAAATAAATTCCTGAGTTGATTATCCCATCCCTAAAACAGATTTTTTTTGGGGTTGGGCGTTTGTTTTTGGGGGGGGGGGGTTTGGGTTTCTTTGGGTGGGGGTGGTTGGTTGGGGGTGTGGTGTTGGGTTGGGTTGTGGGTTTTTTGGGGTGGAAAAAAATTAAAAACCCAGGGAGTCCCCCCCCCCTTTTGGGGTCCCCCCAACTTGGTTATCCGCCCCTGGCTTTTTTTTTTTTGGGAAGGGTTGGGCAGGGGGGTGTTTTTTAAAAAGGAAAAAAAAAAAAAATTTTCCTCCGGGGGCTCCCCAAAAAAAACTGTTAAAAAAAAATGTTTTGCCCCCCCCCTCCCCCTTGGGGTTTTTTCCCAAAGCCCCCAAAAAATTTCTCCCCCCCCCCCTTTGCTTTTCAAGCCCTCCCTGAAGGGTAAAAAAGCCTTTTTTGGGGAAAAATTTTTTTTTTTTTAAAACAGGCAAAACCCCACCAACCAAAAAAATTGCCCCCAAAAGCCCCCCACTTTTTAATTTTTTTGGGGAGGGTTTATTTTTAGTAAGATCCCCCTTTTCCTCCCCTTCAAAAAAAACAACTCCAAACAACGGGAAAAGGGAAGGTAGGCAAAAGAGAGAAGGTGATCCCCTTTTTTTTTTAAACTTAAAAATTTACCACAAAAAATTCTAAAAAGCCTGGGGGCCCCCCAAAATGGTGGGGGTTTGTCTTTTTTTTTTGGGCCCCTGGTTAAAATTCCCCCCCCCCCCAAAGGGCTAACTTCCCCCCAAGGAGGCCGCCCCCCCCCCCTTAAAGCAAGGAAGGAAATTTTTTGGCCCCCTTTTTTTGAAAAAAACCCCCCAAAAGGAGGGCCCATTAACCAGTTGAGCCCGAGATTCTTTCCTAAACAACTTTTTGCCAAAAATAAAAAAAAACTCACCCCTAAAAAGGCCCCCCAAAGGCGGGGCCCCCCCCGAAAACCAAAAAGTGGGCCCAAGACTTCTTGTATTTCAAACACCACAAACCCCCCAAACCCAACACAACCAACACCAACCAACCACAACACCAAACACGCAAACA